TCCTTCGGGGCAGGAGTTTAGGAATTCCTTCCCTTCTCCAATACAATATCCCCTCCTTCCCCAGTCGTCATGCCTAAAGTCCTAAAAATCCCCATGGGAAAAGGCATTTGCAACTGAGAAGCCATGGCTATCTTTACAAAGATAGTCTTTTATTCTCTGAAACAAATCAATTTAGATAACACTCTAAAGTAAGAAAATAGTGACATATTTTAGATCTTATATAACAATAATGGGGAAAATTTCCATTTTCCATCCTTGCCTGCTCGATAGATGTACCTTTAATGAGAAGTCTAGAAAATCATTTTGCTTTGTCACAGATACAGTAGTCCCCCCTTTATCCAACGGGAATATCTTCCAAGAGCCCCAGTGGATGCCTGAAACTGCGGATAGTGCTGAACCCCATATATACCACACTGTTTCCTATGTATACATACCTATAATAAAGTTTAATTTATAAATTAGGCACAGTAAGAGACTAAGAACAAAAACGATTAATAGAATAGAATAATTATAAGAATAAACTGTAAGAAAAGTTATTGCAGATCTTAGCAACCTCAGCATACGATTTTTTTTCTTGCCTTATTAAGTTGAGAACTTTCACCTTTCACTTGAAGGAAGCCCTTTATGGCTTCTCTTTGGCATATCTTAATTGCCAGTATCACTACTCTTGCACTTTGGGGCCATTATTAAGTAAAATAAGTGTTACTTGAACACAAGAACTGTCATACTGCCACAGTCTCTCTGATAACTGAGATGGCTACGAAGTGACTAACAGGTGGGTAGCAGTGTATACAGCGTGGATACACTGGACAACGGGATGTTCCACATCCCAGGCAGGATGGAACAGGACAGCAAGAGATTCCATTACACAGAACAGTGCACAATTTAAAACCTATGAAGTTTTTATTTTTAGAATTTTCCATTTAATACAGGCATACCTTGAAGATATTGCGTGTTTGGTCCAGACCACTGCAATAAAGCAAATATCTCAATAAAGCAAGTCACATGAATGTTTTGGTTTCCAAGTGCACATAAAAGTTATGTTTACACTATACTGTAGTCTATGTGTACACGATAGCATTATGTCTAAAAAAATGTACATACCTTAAAAAATACTTTATTGCTAAAAAATGCTAACCGTCATCTGAGCCTTCAGCCCTGACAGACTTGTTCGACACGATTACCACAAACCTTCAATTTGTAAAAAACGCAGTATCTGCAAAGCACAGTAAAGAGAAGCACAATAAAACGAGGTCTGCCTGTATTTTAAGACCGCGGTTGGCCATGGGCAACTGAAACCACGGGAAGTGAAACTTCAGATAAGGGGTGGCTACAGTAATACATACGCTAATAGTTTTTTCTTTTTCTTTTTCTTTTTATCTGTGTCTGTGTGTGTTGGGGTTGGTGGGGGCCATGCCTACTTCTCATTCTAAGCATTGGGAATTCTCGTGCTCACGGTTACCTTATCATTCTTTCTTCTTATTTTCTATATTCACAACAGGGTGTAAGTAATGAAACTATAAAATGTTACCCCCTGCAGGAATAGTGGTCGATTTCTAGAGAGTTGGAATCAGAGATTCAGTCTGCTCAGGTCCTTTGACTCAGAGTTTTTACCCAATGTCCAAGGCTGCCAGAGATGAGGAGCAAAAGGAATGCTTAAGATGGAATAAGTGTCTGTCATCTGTGGTCAACCTGCTGGCTCTGCTTCAAGCCTGTCCCAGTGGAGTTGGTGGAGGGACACAGTGTTGGCCCTGGATAGCTGCATGGAAGCTCACGTGGACACTTTGGGCCACTAGAACATGAACAAATACAGTCGTCAGACCTGGATTTACCCTCCTGAGCTTCCTTAAACTTTCCCATGGCTTCGATTAAAGAACATTAACCCTTCTACCGTTTGTGCTTCTTTCCTTTTCTCTCCCTGACCCAAGATTTGCTGTTTCCTAATGATCGCCAGTAAAATATACACTAAACCAGTAAAATATATACGAAATCCTTGGGCTCATAGAAAAAAATAAAACCCTACAAATATTAGTTTCACTAAAGGTGAACTGAATTTGTGGTCAGGAAGTGATTATTATAACTCTTTGCTATCCAGTGGCTGAAATTCCACTGTCTAATCTGGTCACCTTTAGTTTAAGGAGCTGATCCGTGGTACCTTTAGATTCACTGCATTAAGCGGGGCAAGAACACATCCTGCGCAAGAGCTGACTTGAATCCTTTCTTGTAAGGAGGTAATGGCTCAGAAAGACCTCGGCTGAATTTCATACATATTCATTTAATCAGTAACGTGCCTTTGCAGAAGTAATAAAGTATCTTCTAGCTTTAGTTTTCACATATGTAAAATGAGAATAGTAACTGATGAAATAGTTTTGAGGATTTACTAATTTGGGGTAATATAAGTAAAGTGGCTGTCACAGTCTTGGTATAGGATCGGTGATTAATTAATGCATGTGCCTTTTTTCCCTTTTTGGAGTATATGCTCTGTGAAGATTTGATTTATGTTTTCTCTTCCTTCTGTGGCTTCCCTCAGTACATTACAGTGATCTACATATGGCAGTTAATGTTTACCGAATGATGCTATCTGATTAATATGGAATTTAGGAAAGGAAGGTAAGTGGTTGGTTGGCCCCAGCCACTGTGGACTTGGCAGTTGTGTATCTTTCAGAACAGAAGCACCTGGGGGAAGCCTGCTGTCTATTACAGGCATGAGCACCAGAGTGTGCTTAAAGTTAAGTGCTAACAAGAGAATCCAAGGTTTTTGTTTTATGCTGAGCTTGTGCTGTGACTTGATCCTAGTTAGAGTCAGGACAAGGGCACCACAAATGAAAGACTGAGAGAATTTATTGACTGAGGAGATGTAATCTATAGATTTATGGTGAGACGGATGCAACTTGATTTACAGAGGAAAACTGCACATGCCCCTCAATGGCATTAAGCTCTTGGTAATAGGACACCCAGAATTCCTCAGTAAAGACTGCGAAGTTTTTGAGCAGGTTGTCAAACAATGTAAATCATGGAGAACCGTACCGTGTCCTGCTCAAAGATATAAACTAAACACCCACAAACATAAGACAATAAATAAGCAGCACACGGGCATTCCGTGTAAGGATAGAGGTCATCCAAGTCGTGTGGCGGCAAGGGTTCAGAGGTCATTACAGTTGGATGTTCATTAAGAGTAGTTTAGAAGTGTGTGTGTTTCCTGCATCTTTTCTCAAGGTGGCCCAGGAAGGGAGCTGAGCCCTTCAATAGGTTCTATTTTGACTAAGTAATGATATAGACTTGGAGGTAGGAAGCAGGGCAGAAGCCATCTATTGTTTTAATCACCCTTGATCTTAATATTTTCAATGCCATGAGAACGTGGTCTCTGATTGACTGACTGATGCCTTCCCACAGGTGGCTGATCCTTATGTAAGAGTCTGAGTCTGTTTTAAAGGGAGGTCATTGATTAACCCAAGCCCAAGAAAACCCAAATAAGACACTTATGACTTTTTATCTAAAATACTTGCCCAGCTCTGCAATATTCTAAGGAAGCTCAGCTCCCTCTTGTGGCTTAAAACCATGTGTCAGTTTGTTCTGCCTCCTTGGCTGTGCTATTTAGGAGGAACCAGTCTTTTGCCCACTACACCTTGAGCTTTCTAACTTTTCATTTTGTACTATTGGTGGGAAAATAGGCATGGCCCTGGCAAAACTGGGAGAGAGATATACCTGGCTTTTTTTACCTCTCGTGCTCCCTAACTTGTCCTTCTCTCCTCCTCTTGTAGGAAGAGTGATGAGGTATCTAACTCTCATTCTTGGAATGCTCTCTATCTTCCTATCAAAGTATCTTATTTCTTTTACTTACCCCAAGGAATAAATGAATAATAATTACTTAAAATGTTACCATGCAATCAGATTGGTTTCATTAAAAAAAAGGAATTAAAAGAATTAAATCTGTTGGTTGAATTTGCAATATTAAAGAATGGAATATAAAATATGAGATCCATGGAAGGTAGGCATAGCCTTTAGAAGTGATATATCATGAGGGTCAGCAATTGAAAACTCAGACTGAAGGGTTTTATCTAGTTCTCACTCACTTTTTTTTAAAATGTAAATTAGTTTCCATCATTAAAAACAGGGAGATTTCGTATAATAATAAAACATAACTTGGATTTCTCGCTTCTTAAACCAGACTGAAAGATTTGACAACAGGGAGTCCACATTCCCTCAGGGCAACAGTCAATGGAATCTGCTTAATAGCCAATCGTTTTAGAGCAAGCACACATTCTCCATTTAGCCACAGACCTCACCCCTCCCAACAGTCCATAGTTAACCCATTTCCCTCAATTTGTACCTGCTTGACTCCTATGACATTAAAATTGTGACTGTGTAAGCTTATAACATGTAAGGTCCATTTATATTCTAATTATGGTGGTCTTTGGGCCCTAGTCTCACAGTTCATTTTTTTTTTTTAACTGAATAATAGTCCAGGCACCCTCATCTGTCCAGTGTGGGGAGTACAGTCCAAAGATACTGTCTTCACAAGGCAGGCTGACCTGGAAATCTCAGGGCACGAAGCTGTGAATGTCCAGGCACCATAGATATGCTGACATATAGATGTATTTCGACTTAATACACATTAATGAGAATGTCAAAAGCAACAGCAAAAACAAAACCTGAATTTATCTATGTTTAGGCTATTTCTGTAAGTCTTTATTTATTTTTACTGGTTTATTGATACCATTAGACATATGCTGCTTATTATCCTTCTGATTATGTCTAGTCTCTCCTGCTCCTAGGTTGTAAACTCTTGGAAGACAGATTTCCTGCTCTAGTTCTTTCCGTTTCTTTCCCTTCCTTTTCTTATCCTCCTATTCTCCACAAAATAAAACACATCATAATAATACATGCTTTAGAGCTATAGCTATTCAAATAAAAGTTTTATCTCTTTCCTAGCTACTGTTCCTTTTCCTTTGCTGGAGGAGGATGGAATCCTGTGGAACTTTTGCTTTTTCTCTTTCTAGGCTTTAGAATGAGACAGCGCCATGTCCTCATGGAATCCACAGGGCCTGCAGGGCGTTGCCCTCATTTGGTGGAATCTGTTGCCTGTGAGGATCCAATGTGTTATCGATGGCTGGCATCTGAAGGGATCTGTATCCCTGATCATGGAAAATGTGGCCTGGGACATCGCATCCTGAAGGCTGTCTGCCAGAATGACCAAGGTATGATGCCAAGAAACACAAGGACTGTTAAGTCATATCTGCCAGATGGCTCATCACCACTCTCCACCAGGTCATTTTCACAAGGGAGGGAAACATGGTCCTTCCTATCCTTGAATATTTGTGTTTAAGTCAAGTGACACATTGCTGCACACAAGCTGGCTTGATTTAATATGGGGCCACATACTCCATGACAAAAGAACACTATTTCATTATGCCTAAATGCAATACAGTGAACCTAGAGATTTCTCTGGAGTTTTTAATTTATCAATACAAATAGAATACAGAAATCATCTGGGTAGTCTTCAACTTATCAGTGCAAAATAAGTTTTACTTGCCTCTTTTGAAGTGGATATGTAACATGCTTTTATATATTATTAACAAATACTATCTTGTAAAGATTCTAGGGCTGCAACTCCCTCCAAGTTAAAAAGAAAAAAAATACTAAGCTATATCTTTTCATTTATGTAACATTAGACTAGAATCAGTTCTAGACATAAGACAACATTTCTAAAGAACTGCTTTTAAACATAAGTTGTCAAGATTTACAAAACTATTAACAATGGTGTCTTTCCTTCATCACCACGCTTTTAGTATAATGGTTGTTTGAAATGAAATATGATTTAGAAAATATGTAAGTCACATGAAAATCAGAAAGTGACATTTAAAACTATCCTACAGTTAAAAAAATTCAGTCTCTTGGAAGAATATGGAGTGTGTCTGTTAATCAGCTCTATCATGAGAAGTCCCATTTCTAATGCTCTTGGTGTGTGGACTGAGATGTTTTGAAATATGAAGTGAAGTCAGTCACAGAACGGAAGGAAATTACAAAGTGGATTCATAATGGATATTAACGTCCACACAGGATGACCTTCAGCAATGCATTTTCCTGTTTCCTTCCTTCCTTTCTCCCCTCTCCTTTCTCTCTCTCAGCCTTTCTCCCCTTTCCTCTCTCACTTCCTTCTTTCTTTCCTCCTCTCCATCCTTCCTTCCTTCTTTTTTTAACCACTGACTGCCCAAATCAGACAAGTACACATTTTATCAAATTATGTAGTTGGTTACCTCACAAAACCAGGTGGTTGTTTAATTAAATAGAGAGTGACGACAGATTATATTAGCTATAGTCTTTTTTGACTAAGTAGTTAAAACAAATATTGACTTTTCATATTATCAAATACTTTTTGAATTGTGGTAACATATATGCAGCTTATTAACCGAGGTAAATAAAATCACTTTTGTAATGCTTCTCTTTGAATTCAGGAAGAGTAACATAGTGGTTTAAAACCTGGGCTCTATAGTCAGACAGGTTGGAATTTCAAGTCTGCTACTCATCTGCTAGATGATCTCAGGAAAATTATGTAACTGTGGAGGCATCTTTCTTTCAGCTGTAAAGTGGAGATAATAAAACTTCCCTCTCACTCTCAGGTTGTGAGAGTTATGTTAGTTGTGTAAAAGTGATTAGTTAAGTGCCTGGCACAGAACCATTCAAAATACGCTGTAAGCTTATTTTGCTTACAATGCCCATTTATTACTGGGTTCTGTCCTGGGGGAATTATGCAGAAAGCAGTCTTTTATAAACTGAAAATAAGAATGAGTATTAGAATAACCATACTACTTCTTCCTCCCAACCTCCAGCTGTGTAAACAAGAAGATAATTTGGTTGAGAGCCAATGACAGATGACTGTCATGCTTTGTCATCTCCTAGCAGGTATTGGAGGCCTGACAAACCTGATATATTATGTCCATAGGCCTGGGCATTTCTCACAATTTGTCCTCTGTCTTCTTCAATATTGCAGAGTGTGATATTCTGATTTATAAACAGAAGTATATATTTGGTCTTTGTCCCCATTTAGGGGCCAGAGCTCCTAAAACCCTTGGAATTCCTGAGTGATAAGAGCAATGGGAGCATTTTTTGTTATAATATTTCCTCTCTTGTCCTCAGTTCTTGAAATTACTTTCATAGAGGTGAAATGGGTGTCTTGTTATTCATAGCAAGCCCCTTTTCACCACAACTGGGTTTATGTTAATGAGATGACTTTTGGAAATCTCCTAAGGATGAGGCTGGTTGCCAAGGGAACCAAGCATGAATAAAGGGTTGGGACTTTCAGTCCCACTCCCTGATTTCTGGGGAGGGGAAAGGGGCTAGAGGTTAAATTAATCACCGATGGCCAATGATTTAATCAATCATGCCTATGTAATGGAGCCTCCATGAAGGACAGGGTTCAGAGAGCTTCTGGGTTGGTGAATACATGAAGATTTTGGGAGAGAGGTACATGGAAGCTCTGCGCTCTTTCCCCACAGGTTGCCCTATATATATCTTCCATCTGGCTTTCTTGTGTTATATCCTTTCATAATAAACTGTTAATCTAGTAAGTTAAATGGATTCCCTGAGTTCTGTGAATTGCTCTAGCAAATTAATCAAACCCAAGGAGGGAGTCATGGGTGATGAGGATTTTAGGCTGGTTACTTTTAAAACTGCAGATGAGAAGCAGGCTCAGAGGACTGGAATTTGCTTGCTCTTTGAGAGATATTTGCATTTGTGAAGGAAGGGGGGGATGACCTTGTAGGGACCTGAAATTGGCCACCCCAGGATATGTCTCTTTGGCATTGGGATTGTTTGGGGCTGATTGCTTTTGATAAACTGGGACAGGGAAGGAAGCTCTAAGGAATGGAACTTGCCCTTGTTGGGACACATTTACATTTGTAAGGTAAATCTCTATCTGTAAAAGGTGCCTCCCTCTCTGTACCAGGAAGAAGAAGAGAGATGACCTTGTCCCTAGAAACTCTTAATGGGGAAGGCAAGAACTTAAGTTGGTTGCTGCCTGGCAATCTCTTGTAACTGATTTAGGGTGGTGGCTTCTGACCTTTACTTAATACGATTTGATTCCTGTCTAAAAGTCATGGGATCACCCAACAACCAGACCCCACCTGCACTGATACCATTTTAACTTTTTTTCATGTTCTTTCCTTTGTCTTGTAAAGAGATGACTCACATACCCATGCCTTATAAAATTAGCTCTAACCCTCAACTCGCAGCAGCAGCAGCTCTGCCTGCCCATGGGTCCTGTCCCCATGCCCGCGGCAGCAGCAGCTCCCCATGCCAGCAGAAGCTCTGACTGCCCATGGGTCCTGTCCCCATGCTATTCCATTCTCTAAATAAAAGAGCACTACTGCCAGATCTTAAGCGTCTAAGAAATCTTTCTTTCGACTCCTTGGCTCACCGACCCCACATCAATGGGAACCTCTGATTTATAGTCAGTTGCTCAGAAGTACAGTTAACCACCTGGACTTGTGATTGGCATCCTGAATTGGAAGGGGTCATTGGAACCTCCAGTTTGTAGCTGGTCAGTCAGAAGCACAGGTAACCTAGGCTTGCAATTGGCATCTGAAGTGGAGGGTGGTCTTGTGGGACTGAGCCCTTTACCTACGGAATCTGATGTTCTTCCTGGATAGATGGTGTCAGAGTTAAGTTGAGTGGTATGATACCCAGTTGATGTTGGAGAATTGCACTTTGAAATTGAGCGCAGAACCCTTTTTACAGAAATATCAACTTTACCATTTTACAGCAGTTCTAGAATTTTATCGCTTATTCCTTTGAAATAACTAATTTTCAGCATCGACCTACAATCTCAATTTCTGTGGGGAGAAGTAAGAATTCCTGCTGGTTCCTATCAGTTCTATGAAGTCTTTGTGGTTTTTAAATACCTGGATGACTCCTTCCTCATTTGTGAGGCAATGGCCACAGTCATGGTTACGAGAACAGGCTGACCTCCTGATAGCGGAAGCAGTCTTTTGTCCAGTGAGAAATTGAAAATGTGCTCTGGTTGCACTTGTCTCGGTTGAGCTTCTGTGAGATTCCGGATGATTGATGATAGAAGTTTGGCAGAGAAGTGCTCCTGTTTGACTCTCCACATATTACCATTGTCTTTCCGTAGCTGCAGGAATTGATGGAACTGTTGACGCTCATTTAAATGCTTGGAGAGAAAAAATGGTTGAGATATTTAATAAGTCTCCTGTGATTTTCTTTCCTTGTAACATTTGGTAGTTTTCTTTTCATCACTCTGAGTTTATTAATTGTTTCATAGGCCTTTTATTCCAGAATTTATTCAGAGCTAAGTGGATGAGAGCAAGAAAATGTCTTCTTTTCGATTAAACAAACAAACAAACAAATGAACTCATGTTAGATCTTATCCAGTTTGAGGCTTGCTATGATTTGCAAGGTAACTTGCTTTACCTCTTATTTTTAGCTTGTCCATATTAACTCCCTCCAGGTATCCCATTTACCAAAGGGACGTTCAGCATCCTTGCAAAATATTTACATCCCCTTCAGGTTGTGGAGCCAAGAGATTTCCATGTAGCTGTGATCAAGATTCCATAGGACTCTTCATAGTGTCTTGTTGGGCATTACTCATACCACTAGGAAGACATATTTCCTCCCCAGAAGTTCGTTCAGACTATATGTTAGCTTGGAAACTTCAAAAATACACAATCTATGTCACATTAAAGCCAGGAAGTAACTGGAAATAGCAATTTGATTTACCTAAAACTTTGGGTTAGTTTCAGGATGTGACCTACTTTGGACTGTCTAAGAGCCAAGGCATCATCTATGAATTTTTATAGCTATCTCTGAAGATAGGCTTTGACTCATTCTCTACTTTGATTTATTACTGTTACTGTCCAATCAGTCTCACTAAAGTTCCTGATTTCTCACCCAGCCTGTGATAGTAGCAAACAATTTGTTAGTCAGTAATATTTATTTTCAGGAAGAAAATTGTATAATAGATTACATGAATGTGTATTCTGATTTGGAATCTGATTTCCACTACTTTGATTGGTGGATCAGCTTTGATTTCTTTCTTTTGTACAACATCTTATCATTAGCAGGGTCAATAGAAATCTACTGAGTATAGAAACTAGAACTCTACCTCGTTTTTTCTTATCTCATTGACAAGTACATTTCCAACATTTCACAGTGGGCATTTGAAAGTAAATGGAGTGTGATG